GTCAATTGACGGACGTATTAGTCGTTGTATCAGTCGTACTTTACATTATAGACAGAGAAAAACAATGTTAAAACCTTGACTTATCCGAGCAACCAAAACCATCTCGTAGCAACGGGGTTAGGGAGGGGACAGGTGGCCTGGTTTGGGGCCGCACGAGCAGCACTCCGGTGTGGTGCACAGACTTTCGGTGTGCCGTTTGCTACCTGTCACTCAGCTACTGCCCGCCTCCACGTCCCCCCTGCGTACTATTGACTTTTGGCGTTAGGTCGCTGGGTGGTCACGTTTCTAGCACAGAGACCTTCACCTCCGTTCTTTTCACGCCCTCGTATCCACTCCATGTGCGCACGATACGAGCTGCGCTGCGCTGCGCGGGTCGAAACGAAGCCGAAAGAGGTACGCGCAGGGCGTGGTAACAAGTGTCAGCATCCTGCGGGACGACGCGAGACAGTTACCGCAAGTGGCGCCCATGAACCAGAGATGGCGCCGAGGCTTCTGCCGCCGCGGAGAAGGAATTTTTTGCTTCGGACGGCCGGAGACGCCCCGAGACCGGCAGGCGCTCGGGGGAGCTGCCGCTTTCAGTTTTGGAGCTAGCCCGTAGTGGCGAACCGACGCACCCACTCGGTTCGGCACATGGCTACAGTGCCTTTTTCCGCGGCACTTATCACATGGTCGAGACAGCCGCCCGGGCGCAACCAACGGATCGCATGGCTCGGGCGCGACGTGGAGGGGTCACGGGCTGGACACGACGAAAGCGATGTACTTTGGGTGACGAATGTTTGGCTTTCGGGACTGAGGCCGCGCGCACGTTCTGTAGCCTTTGTTGGTGCACTTGTGCTTGCATTTCGGAGCGATCGGGAGCAACAGTGTAGGCACCGCGCCTTTGTTTCTGTTGCGGCACCGAAATATCTTGGGCGCAACCGCGCAAGGATGTACATCTGCATAGAAAAGAGAAGAACAACAACGAATATTGCACACATACATGAACACATGTCTTGCGAAAATGTACATCCTTTTGAAATTTTCAAAAGCGCCGTTTGATAAGGGTGCACGCATGCTTATAGGACTTCTCGAAATAGTTTTGCTCCTTGCAAAAAAGCGTGCCTCAAAGGAATTAGGTGCCATCGCATCCCAAAAACCGTTATCAACAACCACTCCAGCTTTTGAAGAAAGGATCGATGAACACCTACCTTGCCTCGAGCAGTGTCATAGTCAGTATCGAAGGGACCGGCCCTCAAAAGACATTAGAGAATGACTAAAGGCTTTGATCTACCATCAGAGTGCATGCATCGCTGCTGCTTTTTCTTCCTGGATAATTGGATTATGATTCCCATGATTAAAGCCACAATATGCATTCGGGTAGCTCTGGCTGGTTTTCAGTAAAGCCGGGCTGAAAAGAAGAAAACATATGCTGCTGCATTGCATGCATGGTATCATATCATATCCACCGAGATTTATTCCAAGGGACCAATCGTCCTGAACTTTGCATGGTGCGCTGGCTTCGGCCATGATAGGCACACCGCACAGGATCTCATACCAGACTCCCCGGAAAAAGAACCTCGCAAGCGCAAACCTGCAGACGTGGTTTCTCTTCAGACACAAGCAATGCCGGCCGGATTAGCACACGGGCTGCAGTTTGGCTCGTCGGATTTTCTCACCGTCGCTGCCCAGGTTCAGCACATAGTATCATGCCGCTGAGGACCTGATGCCGCCACTGCAGCGGTGATCTTTTACCACCCAACAAAGGATGATCAAGTTCAGTGGCATTCAACAGTCTCAGGTAGGTATACGGTTTCATCGTCCTTCGGCCACGGATATGTAGAGCCAAAACATGTGCAAAAGCAACCGTCAGAAAGAAAGTGATCATGAGTGCAACTTTGGACAGAAGGTGTGATTTCGACTGAAAGAAAGCCCAACGAGCTCCGAGCATGTCAGAGCAGAGCATCGCGGATAAGACCCCGGTTTCATGATAAGATAAGGTCTGTCTAACTGAAATGATGTGGTGTGGTGTGGTGATTTCGCTCACTGTTTTCGAAGTGGACACCATCATCTGAGCAAGCGAAAGGAAGATGTGTGCGCCTGATGAGTAGCAGGTTACCTCCATCAACGACGTGCTCCGGAAGATTCATCAGAGTAGGGGATTGTCCTTGTTGTAGGAAAAGCAGAATAGGGTATTGATCGTTAGGCCTCATAGTCATATTGTCATAGCAATAACCAAATCCATTAGTCTACAGAGACAAGATTTGATATGAACACGGACCGTATCCATTTGTCTATGGCGACAAGACTGTACCTGCTTGACATAATAGCGAGATCATGATTGGGGCTGACCGCTTGAGCATTTGTAGAGAAACATACATTTTGGACCCTGCATTTCACTTCAGGTGATCCTAGAAAAATCATTCAGAGCTTTATAAAAATTACAGAACTTATATTTCAAAATATAGAATTTTTTACCGGATATTCAATTTGGCTCTAGGGAGCACAAGCTCCTACGTGCTAAAAGTGGATTTTACAAATGTCAAAAGAAAATAGAAGTGTTCATTGTCACATCCAAATGCTATCTGCAAATTTTCAGGGGAAAAACTTAAGCATTTTGACCTGTGTAAAAAAACTAATGGAACGCCAAATGTTACACTTAATTTAGTTTTTTTGTTCACAGACAAAGCACTGTTATCCCGTATCGCATGAAACTTGTCAAGCACACTTGCTACACTAACATGTACATCTACAAAAAATATCAGAATTTTAAATTTTTATTTACTACTTATTTTGATTTTACTATTCATTAGGGAGCATATGCTTCCCAGAGCCAAAAATCCACGTCCTTTTTTTACAGTAAACTTCATATTGTTAGAACACATAAACTTCCGTAAAAATTGAACAATTATATGTGCGGAAAAAGCGTGGTACATTCAGAGTTGAGCGCTTGAGCATTTTGTAGGAAAAAAAACATGCATTTAGGATCCTACACTACACATGATCCAAGAAAATTATTCAGAGCTTATAAAACTTACTCCCTCCGATCCAAAAAAAAAGTGTAGCAGTTTTGAACTAAGGTAAACTGCGACACTTTTTTTTGGAATCGAAGAGAGTACTTGATTACATTTAAATATATAGAACCTTCTCATAATAAACTTCAAAGTATTAGAACAAATATAAACTTCGACAAAAAAAGAAGAAAATGTGTGAAAAGAATAGGAAAATAAAAAAAACCCTGGAAATTAGGTTTTTAATGTTTACCTCTATATTTCAGAAAAATCTGAAATTTTCAGGTATTTAAACATCAATCTGATTCAGCTTGACCTATAATTTGGTAAATTTATGAGATCTATTTCTCTTAATTCTAGATCTAAAGTTGATCCACAACTATTTTATAGATTTTTTAGCATGCAATATTTTTTGACTGCTAAATCTAAAGTTGATCCGCAATTATCTTTTAGAATTTGTAATCATGGAATTTTTTTTGCACTTGAGTTGAATTCATAGGATCAAACCAAATGTGAAATCATATTTTAAAAAAAGAATGATATACTATTTAAAAAGTCACAAATACAAATTTACCTCCTGTAGGACATGCGGTTTTACAGTTTCTGTGTTGTTGGTAGTCCTGGTTCTGTTTGCCTAAATGAAATCAAAGTTTACCAATAAGGAAAACTCTCATTCGAACAACTTAAACTTGAACTTTCTCAAATTTGCATGATTCTACCAGCTACAATTTGTATATTTCCTTGCCTCAATGGGTTTGTGTTTAACAATTAATGAGGTCAAAATAGCTAGCAGCCTAAAACACTTCTCTTTTGCATGACATACAATTGGTTTCCATTTTCTAGTGGATAGCAACTAAAATTCCTTCCTCGGTTCTGTTAAAAAAAAATCCTTCCTCGGTATTTCGATTTTCTAGTGGATATCAACTGAAGTTCCTTCCTCAGTATTGAACCTCTTGATTCACAGGATTTGGTAATATATGAAATACTCCCTCTGTACACTATTGAACTGCAAAAACGTCTTATAATTAGTGTACAGACTACAGAGGTAGTAGAACACAAGAATATGATAGGAACACATGTACAAACCAGAGCCTAGGAAAGCACATAAGTTTTATACATGATTCACAAAAAAAAACACATGACTCGAATAAGCACAGGGAAATAAAAGTCAAAGCAATGTCAATGGGAAAACAGAATGCCATTTACGTCATTTCTGGAAATCCTTCGTCGTTTCACTTTCTGGAAATTCTGCGTTGTTTCACTTGAATCTGAGATCAGATGATAGTTGTAGTTTCATTTACATTTCTTTACTCCATTCCTTTGAATCAATCAAAAGAATGAATAGTGCCATCAAAGGGAAATTTATATTCTCGTGTTTTTCATTCACTTTACCAAATGAATCAAGTGAGCCTCAATGCATTAGAAACAACAGGAATCCTATAAACACTGAAAATACCATTCCACCCCTCATTCAGTCATTCTGCATGGTCATGGATTCCACCCCTCAAGTCATAGCCAGTTCATCTTTTGCTGTGCCGATGCCTTCAACCCTTGAACTTGGAATGTTCCCTATTGATAATGTCACAAGTCACGAATTAAGATTCACCGTCACGTTCTAAAAGTTCATTCTTGAACATTGCGACAATTATGAAGTTGCATCATGCTAGTTTTTAGACTATCAATAAGAGGAGAAAAAGGGCTTCCACTAAAAGGTAAGGAAACTATGTGTCAGGCTTCTGGAAACCATCACTTAAGGTAATTTAAGTAGTATAGTTACTTATCTACCAATCCTGTGTCCAGATCACCTCTATTAGTGTCCCTCAGTTTGATTCTACAACTGTCTCTGTCGCAGTGCTTATCAAACAGATGAACGTATACATAACTGATGCAATTAAAAAAAATGCACATAAGGCTGCAGCTCCACTGTCAAATGGAAACTGGAGAACAGAAACAGCTTGCATCTTCGTGTTGGTTATTTTCCAAAGTAGAGGATGCATAACACTGATGAAGGCATCAACTGGCAGAGTCCTCAAGATATAATCTGCTAAGCCGGGTCTTTCTCAAACAAAAGGTGGAGTTCCTCATGCACTGGTTTTTCCTGAAAGACAGTAAAATTGAATCTGAGAATCTTATTCGGTACTCCACTGGACAGTGTCCAATAAGTAATGTAATCAAGTTATTTTGGTTAAAACCATCCAAATTTGAGCCTTAAGTCTTACGTCAAACTTAAACTACCAATTGTGTCTTTCTCTTCTTTTTTAGAATCTACATTAGCAACTGTTGACCACCAGAGGCTAGAGTCAACTAGGGTATCGTCAAACTCATATGTAAATACAAGATCATAATCTGGTCTTGATAAAAACAGAGGATATAATAATGATGTAAACAAACCTTTCAAGTACATTTTTCTTTCCAGCTGCCAACAAAATTCTCAGAAATTGACATGTTTGACTATACCACACCATTTGCATCCAAAAACATGTCTCACTGGTTTAACAATGAAAGACTGCATAAAGGAACCAAACATTATTAGACATTAGACAACAGTACATAATTGATTTTATCTACAAAAATCTCTAACTTAATTCCAAGGTAGCATTATACCTGCAATTTTGTGGTACCCTCCATGAGAATGCCCCAGGTGTTTTTAAGCTTGGTGGCATAGACATATAATCCCTCCAATCTTCCATGATGATTCTTAAATCATGAAGTTTGCTTTGCAATCCAATGCAACAGTTAGCATGCATTGTGCAAACCTCATTTAAATCTTTGCTTGGCTCACAAATACCACCAAAGTATGTAGTACTTAAAAACTTAATGGTTAATCCAATATCCATAATGTAAGGATCATGCTTAATAAAATTAAGTACATCCTGGTCATGATAACCAGGGTATCTCAGTCGTGAAGAATACCAAAACTTGTAAAACTCTATGCTTTGATTGTTCGACTTCACATAGTTGAACCCCCCATTAGCTATGTTTCTCAAGTCAGTTGCATTGCCTACATAGTGATCACATGCAACCTGAAGATCTCCATCCGGGTAAAAGTATGGAAATGGATTGCGAAACCACATTATATCTGCATCCTGAAATGCATATAAGAGAAGCAAATCAGTTTATGCTTATCGATTTGACTTTTTCAAGTTCGCTATTGTTAGGAAAAGGGTACATCTTATTGTGTTGGTATGAAAGTAGAATATTAATGCAATAGAGCAGGAAATAAAGTAAACATGGAAATTTACCGAGAAAATGTAGCTGTAACCTTTTTCAAGAACTAGGCGCAAGAAATCCAGCCTTGTCCACATCATTTCCAGATACCCAGCAGTCAGAAACCTCTTCTCTTGAGAAAAGTCCACATTACCGGTTACAAGAGCATAACAGTAGGTATGGATCTCAGTACATCGCCTATATGCTTTCCTGTCGAAGGCTATTATCACAAGGTGTTTCAGTAGTGAACTAGTTCTAACACCATGCCGGAAGCTATCAATGAAAAGATCTATAACTGAGCCTGGAGAAGACCATGCAGCATTAAGCGTCGTCAATATAATGGTCTTATTGTCCATAGAAGCCGCTTGTAGAACTTGCTCAAGTTTGAGATATTCACTGTCCTACAAGGATGGTTTTACATTAATTGTTACACCGAGTAAACAACTTATAAGTTCTGCCTCAGAAAGCAATTCAATTTGGTAGCATATATCAACCGCGTGCTAAACTGAAACACATTTCATCTGATGACGTGGTGCTAAAAAGGAAAGGCATAAGGCTAATCACTGACATAGCCCAAAGAATAAAATATTTCAATCGAAACAAGACAGGAATGATTAAAATAAGGAGGAGGGTTGACATTTCACCAGGAAATGTACAATCCATTTGAATACCACTATAAAGCACAAGGCTAATCATTTGAGATGTTTAGTTATTTCTCACAGTGGAACAGATCCAACTAATAAATAAGCTTAGAATATTCATGATGCCATACAACAGCTATAAGTGTATTCGTTCACTCCTTAAGGGTTTGCAGATTTTAACATCAAAAATCATGTTCATGCCCACCAAATCAAATTGGTTGTTCCCATATATAGGACAGAGCAATTGCTTGATCAGTTGATTCTAAAGGCCGAACGCTAAAATTAGGGGTATTAGCAAAGGAAACAAATGAGGGCCGGATAACAGAATGCTAGCGACCTGAAATATGTAATTTCACTATTCAATTTACAGAACTGAAAAGTAAGGCAGAGGAGAGACTGGCAACATCAACGAGGAGGAGGTGGGGAAGGGGGAGGGGAGACGGAAGCACACCAGATCGTCGGCGGAAATGGGGTCGAGGTCGCGGTCCTCCTCGGGCTCGGGGACCACAACCGGAGCTCGTGGCGGGCCCCACTCCCTCGAGGGCCAGCGATCCCACACGACCTGCACCGGCGGAGGCGCATTCGACACGACGGCTCGGTACAGCACGGCGCAGGGCAGCGCCACGGCCGCGGCGAGGAGGAGCGCCGCCGCGGCTCTCCGGAACGCCGAGGCCGGGGGAGGAGGCGGCTTCGAGTGTCCGTACAGGCGGCGGAGGGAGGTCGCGGACGGCGGGGCCAGGGTTTGGCGTGAGGGCCTCGCCATTGCGGGTTACGTACAAGAGCCGAGGGGGCGTCGGCGGCGCTGTGCGCTGACTGCTGAGTTCGGTCGCCCAGTGTGAAAGTGTTCCAGTGCAGCGCAACGGCCCTGGAAGGCGGAAAGAACGAATGTCCGTAAACGAATCTCGAAAGCGGAAACCACATTTGCAATGAGGAAGGCGCCTACGGCCTACCTACGAACTGCCATGGAGCGCATGCGCATGTGTCGAACGGAGATGGAGCAAGAGCAGCCGGGCAAGCCAATCGCGCCCGCACCGCCACGGCGGAGCGGCGGTGGCACACGTGACGCGATCTGCGTGTTGGCGCGAGATTTGCCAGATGCGCGCGTGCCACCGCATGCGGGGTGTCATATCGCCGCTCTATCTACCACCACGAGCGCACGACGCAGGCCGAGACAAGGCCCCTATGACCGCCAGGGACACCGCGCACCGCCGGCCTCCACGGGACCCACGCGTCAGCCCCGGGAAGGTGCACAGATCGTCTTCTTTTGTGAATGTCGACACGGGGGAGGGAGCGAGGGACCGCAAGCCGTTGCATCTATCTAACCACCGGGAGCCGGGGCCAACGACCTTTGCTTCCCCTTGCCGCATGTTCCCCTCACGTCCTCCTCACCCTCTTCCACTCCTCACCGCTCATCGTCGTCGTCGCGCGCTCGCTCTCCCTCGGAGCTCCCCGCGATTCCTCCCATGGACGGGCTGCCTGGGGAGCTGTGCTTCAAGATCTTCCACCTCCTCGATCACCAGTCCCTCGCCGCCGCTCCCCAAGGTTCGCTCGCTCGCCGCCTTCGATCAGAACTCCTCCGTCACTTCTTATGTCGACATCCTATTATCAGCTACTCCACCAAAAGTCCTCCGTTACTCCTTATATGTTATCATGGCATTTCCTATTCTTCTATAGCATAATTCAGAGCTTGCGGTGGCCTGAATTGCCCGAGCTGTATAGTCTGCAGGAAGTGGAACGCGTTGACCTGCGACGACGAGCTGTGGCGCAAGCTGTTCGAGGACAGGTGGGGAGCGGACGCCACGGCCTTCTACGCGCCGGAGCCGGAGGGCGCCAAGCCCTGGAAGGACGTCTTCGTCGTGCAGGACCGATGCGACCGATACGGCCTGTAAGTTCGTCAATAAGTACTGTACTTCAGAGTTCAGCAGAGCATACGTGAGTGAGTTTTACAGGTAGTAGTACGTGAGCGACTCTGAAGCTCCCCTCTGTTGTGTTGCCTCCAGGGGCGTCAGGATCATCAGGGAGGGAAACGACTACTACCTGATCTACCAAGGCGAGATCCAGAGCTACCTGGGCACGAGCTGCGACGCCAAGGACGCGCAGCCGCAGGGCGCTGAAGCGGAGAAGAGGCAGATATCTGACCGGATCCTCTTCTTCCTGGGGGACCTGGAGACTGCTTATGCCGACGCCAAGCGTGTCAAGACGTGACCGCGTCGTTCAGAAACAAAACTGTTGAAATGTCTGTAAAATTCTTGTCCTTGTATTGCATAGCTCGTGCATAAGGTTGCATTTAGTCTTCTACGTACAGACATCCCATAGTGTTTCGCCGTCGTATTCTTCATCTGGGAACTCTTACTAATCTTCTTGCAGTTCGGAAACTGCAGATAATGTACGATACAATTATTCAGTCGCTTATGCTTGTAGCAGTAATGAAAAAATGGTGAAGAGCAACAAATTAACGAGTTTCATCGTCTTTAATCAAATGATATAACTCTACTTGTTCAGCCTCATACGGATACCAATCTCTGCTAATCAGGTGGATGTTTCACGCCACGGAACATACATACTCAAATACCAACTAGTCAATGGTAATAAAATTGGTGCAAGTGCAGCGCCGCATATGAACCTCAATCAGTCGTAACATGGGTAAGACTGTTTTACTGCTTGTTGCTTCGGTTGAATTAGCATTTGAGGGCAGCTCTTGCCATTTCCAGCGCTCCCTCGTAGGTCTTGTTCCCACCAATGAAGCCACTCATATGGATGAACACACAGCCAGGGATGCCGGTTTCCTTGGACAGTTCATCATCTCTCATGCCCCTCCACTTCTCTGGGAGAGCCTTTCGGCTCTCGAATCTGTCAGGTGCAACAGAGACGGCCTGCACTCGCCAGCCTTTGCTCCTCTCATCCTGCAGTTATGCAGAAGCCAACATATGTATAAAATATGGTGAAACAAGAAACATGCCAGGAAGAAACTAGTTCAAACAAAAAACAAAAACATGAGAAGAAAGTTGATCGCAGTGCTGGCTGCAAAACTGCCAGCATTATTACAACTTTAAAGCATTACACCACTTCGTTTCCATATTAGCATTCTTGGTGGTTACTATGCACAATTGTACTCACACTGTCCAAAGAAAACTAGAGGTACTCAACGAAATTCATATTGGATAACCCGGAAGGGGCCACATTTCTTACCTCATACAGCACATACTTGGTCAGAGGATCAGTCTTCAGCTCCTGCTCTAGCTCAAACAGATGAAGTTTCCACTGCCATAATGGAGAAGCGTTCAGGTTACATGCACCAGTAATTTTAGTATTATCACATCGCACTTCAATACACCAGGCAGTTAATAATTAAACAAAGCACTTGCTGAAATAAGTTTAAAGAAGAAGCATAAAACTAGTACTCCCTCCGTCCCATAATATAAGCTAGGGACAGAGAGAGTAATAAATATTGAATAGCTAATGCAATCGGCAAGAAAGTATCAAACATCCGGGCCGGTATTTAGAAGCATCGGCTGAAATTCTTATTACGCAGCAGTTTTCAACACTTCTACAGCACGATAAAAACATGGTTTTAGGTGGAAAACGCAAAAATATGGAGCACACTGAAGACGGACAAAACCAGATTAGGTATAACATTTAATCATTCATGGCTTCCATGTGCATACAAAAACACAGCTGTGCATAGGACGAACATGGATATAGTCCAAAAACTACCAAGATCTTACCGGGCAGAATCTATCTAAAACCATGATTTCTCCACTTGGATCAACATTTCCTCTTGACAGCAAACACTCCATGACAATAGATCTTGCAGGTAGCCACGATTTAACATGAAAGCGGACACTCTGGCAATGAAAGCGAAAATATAGTCATACAAACAGGACATGTTCTGCTTAGGGACTAATGGAATTCAGGACAGCCCCATTTGGAAAAAAACACAGATATATCACACATAATTAAAGTCCTTAAGCAGTGCATGAATAGAACACATCAACTGACTAAATAGGCATAAGTCATACCTCCATAAACTCACTTCCGGCAAGTGCCATTGCCTTTTGAAATGCGGCATTTTCCTTCTCAGGTGATTGATCTGGATCAGTCCAGTCTGGATTAAGGCGCCCAACACGTGAAGACAAGTGTGTATTGTTCACATACTTGGGGGTTTGCTCTGTGTCATATTGATTGATTCCATTATCGATTGCATCAAGTGCCTGTTACATAAAAGATATTGCTTCTTTGGCACATCATATTGTATTGGGTAATTAATACACACGGTAGACAAACAAACACGTGAATAAAATAAGGAAGGACAACAGGATGTGTCTCAGAAAATTGATACCAGATGCCAATTCGTGTACTGAGGTTCTCTACGCCTTATTAACTTGCGAACCTTTGAGCGTAAGTATAGAACTTGTCAACTGATTGATAATGTAGGCCTATATTACCCCTTTTCTGCCTGGAAGAAACATCTCTGAACCACACAGCCAGCTACAAGCAGCCGACTGCAACTTTGTTTAGCCAACATAAAGTGCATCTTCCCAAACCAACACCGATTAAGCCAATCCGCATATATATGTTAAAGCTAACTACACTCTAACACGGGAAACAATTCAGGAATAAGTATAGATTCTGGAACTCACACCCTCGGTATCCTATGTTTACGCAACCCTAGGCTCATAAATTACTTTAAAAAAAAACTAAGCTCATAAATTTCACAGCTGGTACTGCTAATCCTTAGTTAACAGTCATGCTCCTATCCTTTAATCAAACTTTCCATATTAAAAAGGTACAAATATAAATTTCACAGCAGGTTATGAGTTTACATTCACACCTCAACAAAGCTTTTGTATATGGCAAGATACACACGGTGAACATCTTCATGCTCCTCATTAAGCTGAAGCTCCTTTGCAATTATCTCCTTACCAAAATGCTGCAGTATTAAAAAAACAAATGATAAGCAAACCATCATTTTAACATTTGGAAGACAAAGTTACAGTATAAGTGTATAAGTTGCAACTTATAAACTTCGATGAACTAGCAAATTGTGAAAAGGCTGTGCATACATAAGACAAAATTTGCTATGAAAATTCACAATATCCAGTAACAAATCCCCCAATGAATCCACCTAGTTATGTAGTGCGATTGGTACCCATTTGAAGCAGATGTTGCCAATTTTACAACATAGCTTCTAATGGAAAAGAATTATTGTTTCAAGACCTTCATCGTCTATGGGAAGTACCTTGTAAACAAGCCCAGCACTGCTAAGTTTCGTGTTAAAGCCATGTCCAAAGACCTCGTTGAAGCCCTTCTGGTGATGATCATAGCGATGCCGGCTGGGATCATAGACACCACCAACGTCAAGCACGGCCTCCAGTGAATCAAGGATCTAGAGAAGTTCCACAAGAAAAGGTAACATAGAAATAAGTGCATAACAGAATACAATAGATGACAATGCATATTTTAAAATATTTTTGCTGCATCATATACAAGTGGGATTTCGTAAGCAAATCCAACCAGATGAAGTGCAGCTGCCCACATTAAGACTACTTCATAGTCTCACATGACACTAATTGTAGAACTGACACGAACTGCAAACTAAAAGGGGCCATGAGATGAGAAATCATGCTATTGTAGACACAAGAAAACATTTTAACTACATGGCAATAGTAAGCATGAGATGTGGACAAGATGGAGTTCATGACTCTCTGTACTAGTAGATGATACTAGGAGGCAGCAGCACAAAAAAAATCAAGACATTCAATATTTTTGCCATGTAGGGATTTCGTAAGCAAATCATACATATATACATAAGGATTTCGGAAGCAAATCATCCAACCAGATGAAGTGCGGCTGCAGACATTAAGACAACTTCATAGTATCACACAACACCAATTGTAGAACTGACACAAGAAAACATCTTAACTACATGGCATACTAAGCATGATATGTGAACAAGATGGAGTTCATGACTTTCTGTAGTAGATGATACTAGGAGGTAGGAACACAAAAAAGAAATCAAGACATTCATCATTTTTGGTATGTAGCGATTTCATAAGCAAATCATACATATATACATAGGGATTTCGTAAGCAAATCATCCAACCAGATGAAGTGTGGGCACGCACATTAAGACAACAACATAGTCTCACCCAACAATAATTGTGGCACTGAAACGAATTTACAAACTAACAAGGGCCAAGAGATGAGAAATCATGCTATTATAGTCTATATAGACAAGAAAACATCTTAACTACAAGGCATACTTGGCATGAGATGTGGGCAAGATGGAGTCATGACTTTCTGTATTATATATGATAGGATAGGAGGCCGTAGCACAAAGAACACGACATTGCAGGGTTTCAGTTTACAGTTTCACATTCATACTGTCATACAGCACCTATCCAGATGCAAAATTAAGTCCAATAGACCAATAATAATGAGTTAGTAGTATATCCAGGTATAACTGCAAGCTAATACATCCCTAAATTTTAGGAATCCTAGCAAGGAAGCGGTGCTCCCATAGATGTACACCTCGCCGAAACAACCACCATGTAATTCGCTGAAACATTTCTTGCAGGAAATGGCGGGCCAATCGAGCCGGTGACGAAGCGACAGACCTGGGAGTCGCGGGTGCGGACGACGTCGGCGCCTGCGAACTGGGAGGTGAGGCGGATGAGGAAGCAGCCGAGCGCCTCGTCGCAGTGGAAGCTGCCGTTGTGGGTCCCCACGCGCCTGCCGTTCCCCGCGCCGTTGGAGGAGTCGGCGTCGCCGGCGGCCGACGAGTAGACCCTCAGGCGCTTGGGCGAGGTGGCGCCGGCGGCGGCGGCCATGGGGAAAGGGTTTAGGATTTGGGGTCGCACGCGGGGGAGGAACGTGACGGCTCGCTGCGACAGCCTCCAGGCGCAGGCGGCGAGCATTATAGTCGTGCGGGCGATGGGCTGCGGTGGCTTCGGGGTTGTGTGGAGATGTAGGGTTTTGAGGAGGGGATTTTGGGCTTTTGGCAAGTCGGCCAGACGCATTGCCCAACCTTTTCTTTTTTCCTTTCGATGGCATTGGAACCGCTCAAAAAAAATCGATGGCATCGGCCAACTTTTTTTCTTTTGCGCGATGTTTTCATGTCATGAGTGAGTTTCTAAAAGGAAGTAGGAGTACTAGATATTTTACTTTTTTATTGCGAGTTCTAGATATTTTACGTTTGCAGGTTT